TATTATTATTATTATTATTATTATTATTATTATTATTATTTCATTAAGAGGGAAACTTTCTCTAGGAATGAAATTGCTAAGCCAGATGCTGTTTGCCATCTGTTTTAGTCAAGTTTCCATCTCCTTCGAAAACAGATAAAGAGGAGAAGCAACAGTTCAGAAAATACAGCAAACAGATGTTTTTCTCTGCTTTGAAATACCCCCCCTCATCTCTGTTATGCCTTTTTTTAAACAAACAAGCAAAACATTTATCAAACTGTCAGTGCTAGATCAGATCTGCCATAGTACCCTTGATCCTGAGAAATTATCTGTGGTTATTATTCAGAAGCTTTGCTTAGAGGTAAGGAGGAAGAGAGGTAACAAGCCATGCAAAATAATGTGTGATGATTCTTGTTGACTTGTTTCTAGAAGTTGAATCTCTGTTCTTGTACCCACTCAAATAGAGGTAGGAACAGTTGCATTGTATTGGGTTAACAATGTTGTGACATGTCTTTTATGGAATATATTCTGGTTTGCCAAACATGGGTACATAGAACAACAGTTGCCCCTCCCAATTTGTGGGGGATCCGTTCCAGAACCCACGCACCCCTTGATGCGAAAATGGCAGCTTGCAAATATTTGAGCCCATTTAAAGTAATAGTGCGGGCACGCATGGCCATTAAAAATATAGCCCTTGTCCCTCCCCACGAAGAGCGAGACTGCGGACTCCAAGTCCACAAAAAGGGAAGGACAACTGAAATTCATGAGTACTAGGGCTATTCAATGATTCCCAAATTTTGTTCTTCCATGTGCTTTGGACTTCAAGTCCCAGAAGCCTCAGCCAGCTTGGCCAACAGTCAGGAATTCTGGGAGATGAAGTCCAAAACACCTGGAGGACCAAAGTTTGGAAACCAATGGGCTAAAAGGTCATACAGTGCATAGCATTGCAACAACTCTGTATAGAGCCAGATTTATACAGTATAAGAACAGTATTATTAATATGATAATTATAGTTCGGTGCTATAAATCTATTACTAGGTGTGTGTTTGTGGGTGTAAGAGAGACTATCCAAGAACTATATTAACAGGATATAAACAGGTAATGTATTTATGACTGTTACATTTTTCTTCACGATTTTCTGCATTTTCATTCTTGAGGTTCTGGTTTGATGTCTTTATTAAATATGATGATGATGATAATAATAATAAGAAGAAGTTCCTTTCTAGCAGTGGAGTCTTGAAAGACACATGGGACCTGCAGTTAATGTGCTACACTGTTTCTTCATCTCCAACCCCAGCAAGTATGGCCCTCAGGGATGCTTTATGGCCCTCTCAAAGCCGTGCACCCTTGAGAAATGTTGCCACATTGGGGGTGGCATTTTAAGCTGAAGGGAGACATTTTTTTCAACATGAAGTGACCCAAATGTCAACTTTTGAGTCACTGCTTGACGGGGGGAAAGGACTTCTGGGTCTAAAATGAGCTAAAACCACAGCACCATTTCTACTCCAGGTAGTGTTGGGGGGGGGGTGTTTGGAAGCCAAAATGACATTTTAAATGTGGGTAGTGTGGCCCGCAGTGGTCCCTGGGAAGGCTGTGACGAACCAAGATTCAGTAGTTGTTCATCCCTTGCTAGTAGGAATGCTTCTGTTCAGGGTGCCAGCCAATCACCCATTCTTTCCTCCAGGATACTCTTAAGCTATAAAAGTCTCAAACTAGCCAGCCTCAAATATACAGTTTTCAACACTGATAGAGACATATTGGGCATGCTTACCAGTTTTTGGAGGAGTTGTGTATAGTTTTTGTTTCACTGTTTTGTACTCTGTTGGCCGTTTAAGTGTGCTAATGCCTCCTTTTTCCTTAGTGACCCAGGTCCTGTTTTGTGTAGAGACTGACCTGTAATCGAATGGCATAGCATGCAGGTAGCAACAGAAACCATGTTCAATGTGTCCTGTAATCATTTCGCTATAGTGGATAATATCAGTAAGCTTTTGGGTTTGTAGGAGGGTCTCTCTGTTGAATGTCTCTCTGTGTTGAATGTGTTGCTGTTGAGGCTGTCTAAACAAGGATAGGCATACATCTCAAGGCCTGTGAAAAATGCCTAAAGTTAAGCTGAGACAGTGTCTGCAGTTAAGTTTTCCTTTTGTAGTCTAATGTAAATGCAGTTAAGTTTGGTGCTGATGTTAATTTGGGATGGAGCATTTGGGGATGAACTAATGATTTGGGACATGCAGACTTTTAATGTGTGACATCCCTCTTCAGTTGTTCACCAGAAAAGCTAGGTTAAAAATATGAAATTTATCATTATTTATTATTTACTTGTTGGGTGGCTTTTAATAAAGCCCTTTCGGTCTTGCCCAACCCTGCCTGTCTGCAGCTCATGTTTCAGTCATATATGTGAATAATTCATTAAGAAGCTGTTTAATAATTGAAAGTAAAAACCATTTATTTATTTGCTTCAGTAATGTTTTTGGTAATTTTCTTAATTTAAATCATTTCCTACAATGTGCATGTAAAATAACATGAATAAATAATGTCTGGGCAAACATATATCCTAGCCGAAGACTCAGAAAGTGGATTTATATACTGGAAATCATAAAGGTGCAGGCAGATGTCTGTGTATAGAACAAACAAACAAAACCCCACACTGATTTAGAAAGCCCTCTTTCTGTGCTTGGCTTTGCCAGTACAAAGTGAATCTTATTTGTCATCTTCTGTCCATTCCATTATATTTTTATCTTATTTGTTTGCTTCTATCCTTTCTATAATATTTTCATCACACCCTTTCTCCATTTGCCCCATTCCCAGTTTCACATTTGCAGCAACTCTGTGAAACGGTAGGCTGAGAGATTGTGATCATGGCCGAGTAGAGCCTTGAACCCATTTCTCTCTGTTTCTTTTCTATACTCAAACCATGTTCTGTTTCTTTTTGTCTCCTGGAACTTCAATTTGCTTTGTCACATTTGGCATAAAATAAGGGCAGACATCTATGGACTGAAACCTTTGCTGGTTCTTGGTTTCCCACCTTCACATATGTAGATGTAGGATGATAAGCTTTTAATCATTTTCTCTGTGGAAGTAGGTTCAGTGAGTGCAATGTCATTTAGAAGTAAGTGTACAAAAGACTGGACTCTCAGTCTCTTCCATTTTTGTATAGGACAGAACACTGGCAGGGAGAAGACTTGTTTCCTTGGTGCTGTATCCAAGTGCTTATGAATCAGAAATGGAGTACGTGTGGCCTTCCATAAGTTGAACTAGAGCCAGAGTGGCATAGTGGTTTGAGTGTTGAACTACAACTCTAGAGACCGAGTTTGATTCCCAGCTCAGACATGAAACCCACTGGGTGATCTTGAGCAAGTCATATGCTCTCAGCCTCAGGGGAAGGCAATGGCAAGCCTCTGAACAAATCTTGCCAAGAAAACCCCATGATAGGTTCACCTTAAGCTTGCCGTAAGCCAGAAAATATTTGAAGGTACACAACAACAATAGGCTACCATGGCTAGACTGGTGAGTTAAGAGTCCAATTACATGTGGAGGGCTACACGCTTCTCACCCCTTTCTATCCTATTATTAATAGGCTAATTTAACCAGGTTACTATCTTCATGCAGTTATTTCTCAAAGGTAATGACCATTACAATGGGTCCTCTGTATCCAAAGATTGTTGGGGGGGAAATATTTTCAAGCCATAAATGGGATTCAACCCTTCGTGGCTTGACAAGATTTTTTAAAAACCCCAAAAGCAAACCTCGATTTTGCAATTTTATATAAGGGACACCATTTTACTATGCTATTGTATATAGTGGGAATTGAGCATACATGAATTTTGGTATCTACTTGGAGGTCCTGGAACCAACCCCAAGCAAATACCAAGGCCCCACTGTACATCTTTAACAGAAAATTTGGTACCAGAGGCAGAAACAACATGAAAAAAAAAAAGAAAAATAGGTACTTACACCATAAAAAAGAAGAGCAGTTCAGTATGTTTCAGCCAACTTTTTATTCAAAGCTAACAATATGCCCATGTGAAATGAAACAGCCAGATCAAGAAAAGATTGTATAAGTAAAGAAAAACATGTTGAATCTTTTAGGGGATTATTTGAAGCCTTTTTCCTAAATGTACCCAGAGATTACTTTTCATCCACTAGCCTTCTCTTTTCTTATGATTCCTATTTTGGTGGCCAGCCTTATAGATCTGTGCTTTTTAAATAGGCTGTTGTTGTTATGTGTTTATTTATTTATTTTATAACCCCCGTCTTTAGAAATGCTCTCAGTGGCTTACAAAATTGTTAATTAGACAGTTCTCTACCCTCAGGCTTACAATCCAAAAAGACATGACCCAAAAAGAGAAAGGAATGGCAGTGGGGAAGGAGATCAACTAATGGTAGCTGGTGAGACAGGTTTATCTGGTCTCCCCTTTTCTCTCTGTTTTGCTGTTCAGTTTACCTTACCTGCTATAGAATACCATTGTTTCTCAGCTTAAGCTTTATTGCATTGCTTATTGCAGACAAATTTCTGCAACCCAAAATGAAAAGTCTGTATTTCTCTAGCTCTCCTTCACTGTGTTCCCAGTACTGCTTTAAAAACATTTCAGCTAGGTGGAGGATGAGGAAGAAAAGTTGAGGCCTGATGGACATAAAAAAAACTTAGTAAACTTAGAATTTTATTAGTAAAAAGGAATTTCACTGTTAGAGGCTTTGTTAATTGAGCTATACCTTTATTTCCATTCATGACAATTAGCCTTCATTGTCAGAATATTTTGCTGATGATTAATTTCCATAACTCTTTTGTCTATGGAATGGCGACAAGTGGTGCATACTGGTGCAGTGACTTCAAATTGTGCATATTTAAACTCATTGTTATCATTTATCTTCTTCAGAAAAAGATGGCAAAGCATTTCACCCAACTTACGAAGAAAAGCTCAGACTTGTAGCATTACATAAGCAGGTTCTATTGGGACCGTACAATCCAGACACTTGCCCTGAAGTTGGATTCTTTGATGTGCTGGGAAATGACCGAAGGTAAAAGCTATTGTTTTTTTCTGGATCTGTCCACCAAATAGATGATTTCATCTCATTTGAATAATTCATCCCAGGATTGGTCTGTTGGCTATGGTAGCAGTGTTGTAGTAATACCCCACAAAATCCAACAGTTGAGCAAGCTTTGAAAAATAGCACTTCTGGAGTTCCATATTTTTGGGAGCAGGGGGAAGGTGCTTTCCTATACAGTTTGATGGGTAAAGATCAAATTTTGTTTTATGGTTGAAATAAGCAGTCAAAAATTGCAAATTTGATGTGGAATTATATTTAGTTTCCATGCAGTGATGCAGGAAGGACATCGTTGTTACTAAACAGTTTAGTGCAGTTTGGAATTCTATTATAGGGTTTCTGTCTGTGGCCTACCTTGAATCCCATTTTCAGAGAAAGGCAGGATATAAATCCTTGAAATAAATTGCCTAACTACTTCTGGTGTATCTGGCTCTGTACCAAAAGAACTGGTGGATTGCATATCAGCAGTGCAGTGAATCAGTTCTCAGTTTTAGTCAGATTTGAAAGGAATTGGGCAAGATGCTGAAAACTATTTCCAACATAGGTTCAGCATCTTGAATAGCCTCTTTACACTTCCGATTAAAACTTGGAGTGAGCTCACAGCCCTACTGATGTGAGAGCTACGAACTGCCGCTGTCAAGACATGAATTGGATTTATGAACTCTCACCCATAAATGTTGTTAGTATTTGTCTGTTCATTATATTGTGATCTCTTTCCTTTACCTAAATTAGGTAGAGATTCTTTAGCTTTGAAATCATGCCCCTCCCATAATTGTGTCTCTTTGTAACCATAGTTTAGTAGTCAAGATGTTACTTTGCTTATTTTCTCTGTGCAGGAAAGAATGGGCTGCCCTTGGAAACATGGCAAAGCAGGATGCTATGACAGAGTTTGTAAAGCTCCTAAATAAGTGCTGTCATCTCTTCTCCACATATGTTACTTCACATAAAATAGAGAGAGAAGAACAGGAGAAAAAACGGTAAGCCACTCTAGAAGTGGGTGGGGCTGATTTAATGGTCACTTAGTTCTTTAATCATTTTAATTGCTTTTTAACAATTTTGACATGAAGATGTTAGATATAGGCTGCTACCACTCTACAGAATTAATGCAGTTTGAAACTACTCTAGCTGCCATGGCTCAGTGCTATGGAATCCTGGGATTTGTAATGTGTTTTGACACCAGAGCTCAGGAAACTACAAATGCCAGAATTCCATAGCATTGAACCATGGCAGATAAAGAAGTGCCAAACTGCATTAATTCTGCAGTATATATGCAGCCATAGTGCAGTTTTTCCTGTCTTTGGAAACAGATGTTTACATGTTTTGAGAATCTTAGTATTTCTTGAAAACATTGAATATTTGTAAAGTTTTAGGTAGCACATAAATATTTTACTTGTTACCATTGTACAGGAATCTTATAAAACATATTCTTGTGATTTAAAACAGGATATCTTTTGCCATAAAATTTCATATTTTGCACATCTAAGAAGATATTTTATCTGATGTAAGCCGCCCCGATTATTTGACAGAGGGGCGGGGTATATGACTGTTTCTTATTTTATTACCTTCATTTTTAGCAAATCCTGTGACTGCTCTGTACAGAGGTGGATAATAATCTGTATCTCGGCTCTTTATTCTTTATGAAGGGTGGTCACAGAAAATTGAAGCCCAATGAATAGTCTGATAAACTTGGCTATTACAGGAGGGAAGAGGAAGAACGGAGGCAGCGTGAAGAGGAAGAACGAGAGCGTTTGCAAAAAGAGGAAGAGAAGAGAAGGCGAGAAGAGGAAGAGAGGCTGAGACGGGAAGAAGAGGAGAGGAGGAGAATAGAAGAAGAGAGATTCCGCATGGAACAGCAGAAGTAAGATGGCAACTGTACATGAATCAGCATATTTTTATTCCATCTTCTCCTAAAAGACCTTCTGTATGTCAGGTCATTCCTTTTATTCTCACAATAACCTTGTAAAATGGGTTACACTTTACCTAAAGAAATGGTGGGTAGTGAGCTCCTGTCACTAGTCCCAACTTCTGCCAACCTAGCAGTACGAAAGCATGCAAATGCAAGTAGATAAATAGGTACCAATTCTCAGTGGGAAGCTAAACAGCGTTCTGTGCAATCATGCTGGCCACATGATCACAGAGTAGTCTCTGACAATGCTGGCTCTTTGGCTTAGTAACAGAGATGAGCACCGCCCCCTACAGTCAGACATGACGACAACCTTGTCAACGGGAATACCTTTACCTTTTTACATGGTAAGTTTACAACAAAATATTTATTTAACAGCCAAGCACTTTCAAAATAACACACAAAAGGAGTGAAATAAGGTACAGTAGAAGAAGCAAATATAAAATTAACGTAGACCCAAAACAGACGGGCTTGCAAAGCCAGCTTCTGCGTGGCTTGGGGTCATTTAGATAAAACACACATACCCCAACCCGCACGGAAGCAACACCAGGGTTGTTCCCAAACCCTTCCCCAAAAGGAGTGAATCTTTTCCACTCCTTGCTGAGATCCATTTGGGACCATGCAGAGGCTGCCATCCTGCCTGTCTGTTCCACCCCATACACAGTACTTCAAAAAGTTGTTCTGGACATGCAAGCCATTCAAGAACCTGAACCAAAACACAGTACTTCAAGACACTCAAGAAGGGCCTCTGAGGAAGATCTTGATTCACAGGCAGGATTGCATCAGTGGGGGTAGTCTTTCAGAGACCCTTGTCCCAGATCATTTTAGGGATTTAAAGGTTATGATCAGCACTTTGAACTGGGTCAAAAATATAGTGATAGCCAGTGCAGTAGGCACAGAATTGGATATACCACTAGCACTGAAAAGGTGCTGTGTGTTGCAGTGACAGTTGGTGCAAATATTTGGATTAATCATGAATTAGAATTTCTCCTTTGAGTGCTTACAAGAGAAGTGGTAACTTGTGATGTGCTGGATTCTTTGGTACAAGTCATCAGTATTCTATCAGGAAGTGTTGTGCTTCCCACCCAGCCCGCTGACTGACGCCCCCCGCCGCTTATGCTGCCACTGCGCCGCCGCCACACGCTTTGCGGCCGCCATTTTGTTTACCAAAATGGCGGCTGCGACTCGTTTGCGTGTGCGCAGTACTGCTGCGCATGCGCGAACGAGCCGCAGCAGCCATTTTGGGGAAAAAATGGCATCCGTAAGAGTACTGCGCATGCGCAAACGAATCGTGGCTGCCATTTTGGCAAACAAAATGGTGGTGGCGATACGCATGGTGGCAGCGGTCAGCGGGGGCATGTGCGTGTGCATCAGTGCGCGC